AGTAAACCACGTGACTTATATTTATAATAAAGTAAGCTGCAGATGCGCAGTATATGACGCTCTTATATCCATTTTACAGAATTAAATTATCTCATTTAGTTTAAAAATGGCAGCAGTTACCGCACGACGGGAATCACTTGACCGCCCTATTAAGTAATAGATGGAGGTAAAATGTTAAACTTAAATTTAACTAAAATTAATTAGTATCAGGTAATCGGTACACGTATATAATTGTTGTAAAATGTAATGTAATTAGTCAGACATATTGGATAAAAAAAGTGCAAACATCTCAAAACAAAACATTTTTATGCATTTTAAAAAAATATGATAAGACTTTATTTGGTTAGATCTTGATTGTAAGTAAATGATTATAGATTTCTATTATAATTATTTAATAAATACAATTTTATATATAAGTTTGTAATTATTAATTATTTATTCATTCAACTATTAAATTCAATTTATTATTGCAGGTAATGTTTGTAACGCTAATGAAAAGGCCCAGTGGCTACTCTACCAATCTTACCTAATGACCGTATGGGTCGACCCAAACCAGTAGTAATCATCGGCGACCCGATGTCGCCAAACAGGCATTTTCTCGGCCAGAATTCATGGCACGACTTGACATATCAATGTGTACGTTGACAACAGAATTGCATCATGATAATTTCAATATGAACTTGCATTGTTTTTAGTGCGTATTTTCAACATACTGATCACCAGGATGGTTTATTTAGCTCACACCTATCCAGTTGGGAATGTTTGCGCAAGGTCGCTCACACGGCAGTCAGGTATGCTGTTACTATTAAACTAGTTACGAGTGTCAATATTAATTGTAACATGAATTTAATATTATTATTTTACATAATAAGTAAAATTGTATTGTTCTATGAGTTTATTTTGTTATATCATATGCGTATGCCTCACATCATATGATTAATTGCTTAATAAGTTTTTAAAGTTTGTTGTATTAAATTAATGTTTTATATTTTAAATGTTAAATTAAGATTACACTGTAAGCCTTAGGTAATATTAAATCTATGTTAGTGATGTTAACTCTAATGCTATGGTAAACATATTGACATTAATAAATCTATGACCAATTCTGAATCAATGGGACATTTTAAAGTCAATGTCCAATTTCTTTAAGCATCACTCAAAGTGTAATCAA